GGTGATTCGCTGTGTTGAACAGAGTAATGTAATGTAATTTCATTGGTTGCAGCCAGAAAATAGGTGGAAAATACCAAAATAAGGAGTATGGAAATTGGAAAACACTTGGGCATGCTTTAAAGCAGACAAGGCAAAAAAGAGCAGGCCATTCCTGATCCACACTGACAGCAACAGACTAAACATTCCCAAGGAGGAAGTGAATAGTGAGAGGCCAAAGATGGTTCACACAATGCCTGGTCATTAGGTCCTTAATTCTGTTAAATTATACAGTCCATGGTAAAAAGTAAAGGACTGCAGATGCCCACATTATTTTATTGTAGTTTTCTTAGGGGAATCTGGAAGATTATTTCACTTTACATGATTAATTTAAGGATCCTAGTTGGGATTATATTTGTTACATTAAAAAGAAAACTCTGGGGCTCAGAAATTCAATCTCTCTTGGTAGCTCTAGCTAATTTCATGATCTAGAATAGATACTAGCTAATACTTGTATCTGAGACTTGATTTCTTTCTATGTCAGTTTATTTTTCTTGAATATTACATGTTGTAAGGTGCCTAAGTGTACAACAGCAAAATTTTACAATTGTGTATATGTACATATATATAGAATTGTGTCTTTATAGATGTAAAAATAACTACTACTCATCATCTTAGAAACCTATTTTTTGTATCCTGCCAGTTACTACCCAATTCTCCAGGGTATCATCCTGACTTTTAGCATATTGCCAGTCTTTGAACTTTATATTATAAAATCATATAGTAGTACTTTATATTTGGTTTCATTTATGTAACACTGTGTTTTTGAAATTTATCTACATTGTTAGGTGTAGTAGTAGTTCATTATTTATGGTTATATAATGTCCTGTTTTGTGAATATAGCACTTAATGAATCATTATTTTGTGATGAATGTTTGGATTGTTTTTAACTTTGGAGCTATCATAAGGAAGTTACTATGACATTGGTTGTCATAATCTTAAGATTAACAAGTGCTCATTTCTATTGGGTTTATACTTAGGAGTAGAATTGCTGGCTCATAGGATTTGAGATATTCAGTTTTAATAGATAATAGCTGCAAAGAGCTTTCCAAAATAATTGGAATAACTTACAATCTAGTAACAATTGAGTGTACATCCTCACCGATCCTTGATATTATCGGTTTAAAAATTTCTAGCCTCTCTCTTGGGTGTGTACAGGTCACTGTGATTTTACATTTCCTGATGGTATTAGGTTAAATGCCCCCCCCTCTTTTGGGGTATTTATTGGCACTTCTTTTATGAAGTACCTATTCAAATCTCTGCCCAGTTTTTTTTTTTTTCACTGCTTTTTTCTCTTTGACTTATGAGTTTTTCTGAAAAGTTCTTGTGAAATATGTGTATTGCATATATCTTACACACTTGGTGGCTTGCATGTTAATTCTTTTAGTGGTGACTTTTAGAAGGGAGGTTTCAAAATTTTAATAGAGACTCAAATTTATCTTTTAAGAAATCTTTGCCCATCTCCAGGTCTTGATGATATTCTTTTGTTTTCTTCTAAAGGCTTTATCATTTTACCTTTCACATTTTTTTATTTATGCATACAAGAACTGGGGTGTAGGCCAGAGGTGCAGGGGGTGAGAAGGTTCACCAGAATCAGAGTGGGGAGCAGAAAAGGCAGATCTACTGAAATACACTGCTGAGGGGAGCAGCAGGTGAGACAGGAGTGATCTGCTATGCCATGTGGGTTAACTCCCTGGCCAGGGATCAAACTCGTGCTTCAGTGGCTGCTGATAACTTCTTAGTGCTGAGACTTAACCCCTTGTACCACCAGGGAGGCCCACCTTTCACATTTGTATGTACAACCCATCTGGAATAGAATTTTTTATAAGGTATTGGGGGAGTAGATAATGGTTACCCCCTTAGTACCATGTATTGAAAGGATCTTCTTTTCCTACGGTACTCTAAGGGCACCTTTGTCATAAATCAGATGACTACATGATGAAGTGTTCAGGATAATTCATTCTCTTCTATTCCAAAGTTTGTAGACTGTTTAAATTGCCTTAATTACTGTGACTTTATAATTAGTGTTGATTCTTTTTTTTATAGTTGAGGTAACATTGGTTTAAATAAATGTCTGTTTCAGTGGTGTAGGATTGTCTTTTAACTTGGTTCTTCAAAATTGTCTTTGTTAATCTTGACCTTTTTCATTTCTTTTATACACTTTAGAATGAGCTTGTCAATTTCTATATGTTTGCAAACTCATGTGTTGTTTGATATTATTTTAAATCTGTAGAACAAGTTTGAGAGAATGAACATCTTTCCCTATCAGTTTTTACGGCTTTCTTCATGTTCTACCTTTAGTGGATGGAGAGGCAAGATGCACTGCCCCCTTTCCAATGGAATAAATTCTAGGATGATGATACATGTTTTTCCACCATTGTTCTCAGTTCCATATGTGAGGTAGATTGCCTATCTTCTGTTTACTCTTCTGGATCATTTCTGTGCTGTCTCTGCGCTGACGAGTGACCAGTTTAGATGACTGCAATGGGCTCCATTGCCTCTGGCTTCTATTTGGGTTTGATTGGTGGGGAAGGACCGTGATAGATGATAAGAAGGAGAAAACAGTGAGGCCAGGGTGTTAGTTTCCTAGAGCTACTTTAGGTTGGCTCCATCTCTGGGCTAAAGACTGATGTTAACAGCTGCCCGTGGGTACCCTTCTTTTAATTTTATTTATTTAAAGATTCATTCATTCATTCATTCATTCATTTATTTATTTATTTATACAAGCACTGGGTACAGTCAGAAGCGCGGGAGGGTGAGAGAATTCACCAGAGCCAGAGGGGAGAGCAGAGCAGGCAGACTGACGAAGTACACTGCTGAGGGGAGCAGCGGGCGGCAGGAGAGGTCTGCACACCATATGGGACCCTCGCCCAGCGGTCAGGGGATCAAACTGGCGCTGCAGAGGCTGTGGGCAGCTTTGCAACCCAGCTCTCAACTGCTGCGCCACTGCGGAGGCCCACCCTTCTTTTTAAAGCTCCCTTCCCCCTTCGCCCTTTCAGCCTGAGAGTAGTAATGGCTCTCCTATCTCCAATATGGGGTATATCATGCCCCTTGTACCTCCCAGTAGACATTCCATTCCTTTGTTAAACACTTCCCAAATTATGCAATTTTCCTGCCAGGACCCTGATGACTACATAAGTGGAAGAAAAAGAATTTCCTGAACAGCTTGAGAGAACTTTGAGAATAAAGAACAGTTATACCAGTGATAACCTTGCTGGGTTTTCTCACAAAATTTTACTTCTGGCTAAATGTGCCTGAGTATATCATAGAGGCCCTATCTTTTGTAGCACTGGAAATCATGAAAAGGCTGTTTATGATTTAAAAAGTAACATTCGTAGCCTCAAAGTGTAGGCTTACCTGTCCACAAACATTTTGGCCCTAAGGCTACTTTTCACTTTCTGACTTGCTCAGTGATCATGGATGCTGCAGTTTTTGTGCTTGAATCTAAGAAACATCCATGACATTGCCTGAGGGTGTTCAAAAGAAAAGTGAGGGCGTGAAGCTGGTGTAGACTTTAAAGGAGAAATAAAATCGCTGCTATTTGAAAAATTACAGCCGTAGCACTTCTGGGGACAGCAGCCTCAAGCTACAGTGAATGAGGGAGAATTATGCGAAGTAGAGTCTGTACAGAAATCATTTAACTCCTTTTATGACCGTTGAGTTTTTAGTTGTCTGCTTTAGGGATTAGTTTTTAGAATGACATCTGTAATGCTGGTGAGAATTTCTTCCAGTGAGATCGAAATTCTGTTCAAAATATCATTTGACGACAATAGTAATTAACCTAAATCACACATCATATACTGCTGGCAAATATGACAGTACAAGGCCTGGTGGGAGTTTATAATGAACAATCAGTAGCAAATAAACAAAGATATTACATATTATATTTTATTTATTTTTTATTTAATTTTTTTATTTTTATATTCCCCATACAATTGCAACCCCCTGATTTTGACCCCATTTTTATCATCTTCAAAAGTCAGTAATAAGTGGAATTCTACCATGGACAATTCTACTTAGATGTTTCATTTCTACTCATGAAGAGGTGAATCTTTTGTTTTATTATCAGCTGGTACTGTCATTGCCTTTGCTCCTTTGAATTACTGTCCAAACACCCACTGCGGCATCACCCCTCCTCCCTTGTGCCATAAACTTCATCTCTTATTTTAGAAGTGGCAAAATGGTGGCTATTAGACGTGTTTATTCAACACATTTTGAAAAAAAAAATTTAAACTGTGGGATACCAATAAAGATCTCAGTTTTTGACGTTCTTGAAAAATGGGATGATTTGAGAACTCTCCACTCCTCCATGATTGACACTTGGCTGTGTGGAGGGGCGGGGGGGACAGGTCCTGTGCTCAGCAGGGACCCTGGTTTCTCTTGGCCATCCGGGCCCAGAGACAATATGTTCAGTATATCAGGGATAGCTCTAGATTCCAGATGTGAATAAGAGAAACAAATGATTATGTCACTTCAGTCTATATTGTTGGTATGAGGAGCTGCAAGCTCTAAGAAGCCAGAGACCTTGTCTCATTTGTTTTCATATCTCCCCAGTGTTCCAGAAAGTTTAATCGAATTGAATGGAAACTGGCAGTGGTTATGCAAGATGCTTAAAGGCCATCAGCATAAGTCAGGGCTGAGAACATACACTAAGATGGTGGCAGAGGGACTAGAGAAAGAGGTGACCCTGAGAAACAATTCAAGTGGAAATTCATTGAATTTCAGACTTGAAGGAGGTAAAGGAAGAAAGGATGAGGTGAGTTTGAAGCCTTAGGAGTAGCAGTGCCATCATTAAAACAGCTAGGAGGGTGGTATGTAGAAGTCCCAGATTCTTCCTGCTATCCCATATCCCACAACTTTCCCATCTTTTGATGTGAAAAGAATTCCAGGTTTAATTATATTCTTGATTTTGCTAATGCTTATAGCTGCACTCAGATTTTTTTCCTTATGTTTTAAAACCCCAGAGCTAAGACTATCAAGAACACAGTCTCCGTGAACCTGGAACTGACAGCAGAAGAATGGAAGAAGAAATACGAAAAAGAGAAAGAGAAAAACAAGACTTTAAAGAATGTTATCCAGCATCTGGAGATGGAGCTAAACAGGTGGAGAAATGGTAAGGAGGGCTGACGAGGAAGAATGAGAGCTAAGGGTGAGCTTGCTTTTCCCATAGGCTGCTGACTTTGAGAAAGTGAGTGTGATGGTGGAGCTGGGTCCTCTCTGGCAAAAGCCACGTGAGCAAGCATGTGTGTTCTCGTCCCTACCACAGCAGTCACCCCCACCCACCCCTGGGGTCACTAGACTGACACACATTCTCAGTGTGGCAAGTGACTATTTGCAAGGTTGCCTTAATCTATTTCCAGTGAAACGCCTCTGTATCTGTTGCTGTAATTTGCTTTCTGGAAGGCGTATTTGAAGTTTAGAGGATAGTGCCCAAGACTTTGTGACTCATATTGCTTTTTATTAAATGAGAAATGTCATCCTCTCCACTGTGAATTTTGTAATTGATTTGAGGTTAAAAAAATCACCTCTGGCAAATATTTGCAGTTGCCCAACTCATCTTCATGCTTTGCTTCTTCAGAGCCAGAAATAGAGGCCTCCTGAAGAGGCTCAGTGCTAAAGTGGAGTCTTAAGACTTATTTCGTGACTTGTTTTTCTTTCCCCCCCAAAATGTTCCTTTGGTTTTGTTTTACTAGAAGAAAATATCTCAAAAAGCTGATGTGCAGTGGGTGGGTGAGTAGTGGGTAAGGCGTTGAGAGGGGTTTCTAGATCCAAGTACAGATGGTGATTTAGGTGATTTTGACATTGTGATAGAGGTTAGAAGGTTGAAGGCTTTTTCTTTTCTTTTTTATTTTTTGTACTGAAACAAGGCATGTTGGATAGTGGATGGTTGGAGACTGTTCTTCAGATTTTTTGCTGCTGTGTTCAGTATTTATTTCAGGTGCTCTAGCAGACCTGTCTCGGGTGAGTGCAGGGCCCGGGGCTGCTATGCAGGATCAGGAGGTAGCCCACCTGTTTGTAACTGCAGAGTTAGCACATCATCTTGTGACTACATGTTTGCAGCTGCTTTTTGCTTGGGGGTGGGGTGGCAATGAGCTACTGTTTAATTGAAAAGCAATTATGTGGTAAGCAAGGATTCCATTGAGGTTCAAAAAATGACCCAGTAGCCTAAATAACATGATTCTTTTCTTTTTGGAAGATTTTCTAGCTGCACATGTGTATGGAAAGCTGCTAGAATAATTGAATAATTCAGCACCTGGGTGGATGATTTCTTGCAATTTGGCAGGAGTAAGAGAGTGGGGAGGGGTTCTTGGCAAGGCAGGGAGCGGCTGTATGAGATTTTGTTCTATTTCTGGGATCCTCTTGGGTCATTTCTCTGCTGGGCGACTGGAACATTCAGTAAAGCTTTTTGCGTGAAGGGAGGAGGGACTGGCCTTAGAAAGACTGTGGAGTTGGAAGCTATCCTTGCTTTTTTCTGTTTTTTCTTGTCCCTCCCAAGCTCTAACCCACCAATTCTCAATCACCTTTGTCCTTTAGGGTCTGCCCACTGCCCTGTTGGCCTGACTCACCCTCAGGCCTAGTGTCTCTTTTGCACACTCTACTTTTCTTGGTCTTTCCACTTGGCATCATTTTAACTATTTGTCCCATTTCATCCACCTTGCAAATCTCCTCAGAAATTTGTTATTTTCTATGTCTGTAAGTGTGATCTGACATAAGCCCCATATGTTACATAATTTGGGAAAACATATATGGTCTCTTGCACATGATAGACTTCCAATAAATGTATGTTAAATAAGCACAGGTTCAATGCAGGGCTGGAGCTCACAAGCCCAGCAGACCGACTGGACTTGGTGTCTGGCCTCTCTGGGCTTACTGTCAGATGGGGGAGGTGGACTCCAGCCATAATCAATAAATGCATGATGATGGTTAGTGCTGACTCCATGAAGGGAAGGTATCAGTGCTGAGTGTTACTGCAACAGGGCCGCTGCTCTTGACTCAGACCTCAGCGAAGGTTTCCAAGAATAAGTAAAGTAAATAAGATCTGAGAGACGCAGATCTGTTAGCCAGATGAACTGGGAGGAGTAAGGTGGAATGGAGGTGGGGGATTCTGGGGGTGGGAGCAGTAAGGTGAGTGTGGAAAGCTGGGAGTGGGAACACTGACCTAAGAGGATTTTCATCCTTATCTTTGAAGCAGTGAGAAGCCATTCAAAGATCTTAAACTGCAGATCACATGGTAAGATTTGCATTTTTGAAGATCCATTGTTTGTGTTGGAGAATGGTCTGGAGTGGAGTGGGAGAAGGTCCAGGTAAGCTAGGGTGATTCCAGGGATGAGATTCCAGTGATTGAATTGAGGGAAGTGACAATGATAAGGGAAGGAAACAGATGGACCAGAAAGGAATTTAGGAGGTGAAATCTGCAGTGTTTGGTAGGAACTTGGATCTGAGGAGAGAGGCAGATAACATTTATGGCTTGCTGAATTGGGTGGAGGTTGGAAACATTCACTGAAGCAGAAAATGCTGGAGAAGAACCAAGCTGTGGGGGTAAGAAAGGTGAGGTGGTGTTTGAAGTGGCTGTGGAAAACATCCAGGTGAAAATATGAAATAAGAAGTTAGGCCTGAGCTATATAGAGAAATTGGAGAGTCACTGATCTTTAGGAAGTAATTAAAAGCATAGGTAGGGTGTGGTCCTATGAATGATAGGGAAGAGAAGAGGGAGACACTCTTGAAGGGACCCGCCATTACCATATGCAGTCTGTCCCCTGTATCCACTAATTCCACATCTGCAGATTCAACCGTGTTCGGAAAATACCTGCCATATAGTTAGCCCAGATGTCCGTATCTGCACTAAACATATATATTCATTTTTTTCTTGTATTTATTCCCTAAACAGTGTAGTATGACAGTAATTTACATAACATTTACAGTATATTTGGTATTATAAATAATCTAGAGATAATTTAAAGTATACAGGAGGATGTGCATGGGGCGTATGCAAACCCTGCACCATTTTATATAAGGGATTTGAATGTTCTTAGATTTAGGTTGTCTCAGGAATCATGGAACCGGTCCCTCTGGAGACTAAGGGGCAACTGTAATCACTAAGTGGCCGTGATGGGAGAAGGGATATGCAGCTCTCCTTTCTCCCAAGCTAGTACTTGTATTTTAAAGATTTTTGTGGAAACAAAAAATTCTTCAGTGTGGAGAACCAGCTCTAGTGATACCAGGCAGGAAAGGGGGGAGGTAGGTCAGGGAATCGGGGGGCGCTCCTTTGAGTAGCTATGAGTGTAGCCGTATATCAAGGACTAGCTGTAGTCACACACACACAGCAAAACAACCCAGGCTTTTTGTCATATTCCTCGGTTGGGCATTTCATTCTCCAGTAGCCCTTGAGACTTGGACAGGTTGAGGGGATGTCTCTGGTAGGGCTGAGGTCTGAGCAGAGGGCATGTGACTTCTAAGTTATCTTCTACTGTCCATGCTGCCTGCACATCGTTCCAGTGATCTGTGTTTAGGCCAGTTAGGTGAGTGTGAAAAGGACCTTGCCCCCCACCCCCAAAGGACTGGAGCCCTTTAATGGTTCCTGTGCATTAGTCCTACTTCCTCGAGTCAGGAGTGCCTGGCTGGTTTGTGTCAACTGGAAAACCAGTCTTCTGAGAGGTGGAGTAGAGAAGCGGTAGTGTTCTCCACTAAAATCTGAGGGGCAAGATATTTCCAGCTTTCTTCTGAAATCTGACACACATTGGTTCTAGGTTGATAGGAGGCAGCCACTTAATTCATCTCCAAGATTCCTGGATGTTGAGAATTCCACATTGCCTTCTGACTCAAAGGAGCATTGACAGTTGTATGCACTCTCCTCTGGGAAAGAGTTCTTTCTCTGTCTGGTGTGTGTGTTTTTCTTTTTTCTTCCTTCCTTTCTTTCTTCCTTCCTTTTCTTTCCTTCCTTCCTTCCTTCTTCCCTCCCTCCCTCCCTCCCTCCCTCCCTTCTTCCTTCTTTCTTAATTTTCTCTGGTATGTTTATAATGAAAAGTTTGACCAATATATTCCAGTTGTAGGGGAGCAGAGAAAAATGTGTGCACACGCGTGCATGTGCATTCCTACTTGTGCTTTTTCCTCCTTGCTATTTAGAAAAAGGTAGGACTATGAAGAGGTAGGAAAGGTAAAGTAATCTGGTGTCTTAACTGCGAATTGGTTCCAGGCGCCTCATGTGAACAGGTGAAGGGAGAGCAGTCTGATTCAGTGGTGTGGTGGGCCTGCGGTCAGAGAGCCAGCAGCGCCCTACCCAAATCACTCAAAAGTTGTGAAACTCTGTCCTGTCCATTATATGCCTATAGGCTGGTTCTCCCTCCAGCGTCCTGACTCCACACCTCCTGGACAAATTGTCAGCCTCTTGTAACCTAGTGTGTGACTTTAGACTGCCAGGTTTCTCCTCTGCATATAGAATATTGAGTGTCAGAATAAGATCTGTGCCTTGTAATATCTATCTTACACCAAGCCCTCATTCATTTCTGGTATTGCCATTATGTCAGGATGGCTCTGGGCATGTGCCTGGTGACTTAGGAGGAGGCCATACATTTTTGTTTTTAGTAACGAAAGACTAAGGAGAGCCACCCGCTTGCCTCGTTCAATTCCCCAGTGTGCCAGTTGGATTGCAAGTAACAGGAACTGACCCTGCTTAATCAAAAAGAAAAAGCATTGGAAGGTTAAGAGTGACTCCCAGAACCAAAAGAATAGCTGAGGAACCAAGTTCAACTGAGCAAGCTGTGGCAGCGACAGCTTCTCCAGAGACGCAGGCCACAGGGATGAATTGGCAGAGCTCCCAATGGGCCACATCTGGAGTGAATCCTTGCCTGGGTTTTCCCCCCATCTTGCATTATATGTTTGAGAAGGGAAATTTTGAGCTTGGTGGTGGTGTGCTTTGGCTGAGGAAGGAAAAATCTTTCTGCACGTGTTGGAGGAAGGTAATTCATCATAAGGAGGCTGAGAAGCTATTATGAAAAAGAACACAAGTTCACTACAGTCTACCGGTCACTTGTTGGGGCTGAATTTATCACCAGTCTTTTCTTGAATTTGGAGGCTCTGCTGTATATTTAGACTCATGGAAATTTGTTCAGCAGC